CCTGAAACTCATCCAGTGAGAAACGTTCCGCGGTGCAAAAATAAGTGCGATTAAAATGCGTTAATTTTTTTAACGCGTTAATTTTTGTGTAATTAATTAATCTTAATTAACGCGTTAAAGTCCCGGCCCTAATAAAAATGCATTAATATTGAACACAGCAAACAAAGAATCTGGAATGTTTGTTTCTGTGGGTGTATATTTACTTGTCAGGTAGAGGACAGAGTCCAGGACCCTCACAGTGGCCCGGACAGCAGACTGAAAGTAGTCCTGGTTCGAGGCAGGTAGAGGACCTCTTTCTAAAACCGCCTGACAGCTCTTCAGGGACCTGCCCAGAGTCTCCGATGGCAACCAGAGGAGGGGAGAAGAGCTGTGAAGCAAGAAAGAGATGCAAAAACAAGATCTCAGTCGAAGAAAGACACAAAACTGCAGCAACATAAGAAGTAGGTGTTTGATAGGCAGAACAAATAAACGTAACACAAAAAGTAAGGCAATTTGTGTTTGGTAGATGATTTCAATACTTTTTGGCAACACATCTTATTCCGTTGGCAAGCCTGTTTTCTTATCTTTCCAATGGTACCACATTTGTGAGGAACAAGCATTTGTGGGATGAGCAGCAGAGCTGAGTATGTGGGGTACGCCCATGAAAAGTGGGACAAATCTCCTCTGCCAAAGCCAAACAGCAGCCAATCCTTCTAACATAGAAATCATCTACCAAGCACAAATTCAAGTTTCAAGGCTTCAAGGCTTCAAGGTTCAAGGGGTCTCGTTCCTTCCTATGAGAGCTGCTCATTGGCGCATGAAGACAAAATGGCCCAACTTGTGAGAGAGCGAAACGTCACAGATTACCCATCATGCCTGGCTGTCAGAGCAGAAGAACCCGTATGTGCGCTCACAGAGCATGCGCCCCTTAAGCCCCGCCCCCCGAGCGCCCACTCTCGGCTCAGTAGAATGAATGGAGACAGAAAATAAATCTAGATTCGGCTTTTAGTGCATTTTACAACTTTAAGAACCTAATGATTATAATAAGGGCTATAAAATAGTTCATACTGGGAAGTTCATTTAGTTTAAAAAAAAAGTATCCGCTGATTTACAGACATCTCTTTCCCAATGTTAGTCAATGGGAAAATGTCTTTCTGGGCCCAGTGACGTCACGGACTGATACGGAAATTGTAGAACCGCCGTTTGGACACAACGAATATTTTCATCAGAGTCCAGCGCACTTCCTGGGGGCTTGGTACATAGCTACAGTGTAGTCATGACGATGAACATCTTAGGTCACAGGCTCCTCCAACAGTGCAACACAATAAAAACTGAAAAAATTAAATAGTGCAAGTAAATACAAAAAGAAAAAGGGTAAAAAAGTGAAATGTGGAATAGTGCTATAAGAGTATTAGATAAATAATTTCTGAATTGCAGCCAGATTAATGTTGTGGATGTTGTTTCAAAAGTTCAGGTGTTTAACAGTCTTATGGCCTGTGTGGGCTTGCCTTACCTTTTGTGTTACCTTTAATACTGTGTGTGAGACATGAAAGAAAATATATCGTACGAGCTCTGGAGGGACAGCAGGTGTAAGTGTTTGTGTTTCACCTGGTGGGCGCGGAGCAGAGGGCGGCCAGGTGGAGGATGAGGGCCAGACCCTCGAGGGCGCAGAGGGTCTGTTTGGTTTCGGGGCCGTCAGAGATCAGAAAGGTGAGCAGCTCCTCCAGACGAGAGTTCACCACGGCCCACACATCGCTGCCAGCGCGCATGTCCCCCTCGCTTCAGAAACAGACACGTTATCACAATCAGAAACCCTTCAGTTGTCCCGCAACGGGGAAACGTACAATATCACAGCAGGCAGTGCAGATAAAGCGAGGAGAATAGAGTACTAACTAAGTATGCACACGTTATTAATAACACAATAAGTAAGAAAAACTAAATAGCAGAAGTACACCATATTACCTTTATAACAAGACGTGATGTAAATGGACTGTACTTATATAGCGCTTTATCCAGTCTTTACGACCCCTCAAAACGCTTTACATACTACATGTCCTTCACCCATTCATACAGAGCAGTGTACCTTACTCTAGGAACTAACATTCATACATATTCACACACTGTTGGCCATGCCATCGGTTAAGTATCTTGCCCAAGGATACATCGACATGTTGGCTGCAAGGGCTGGGATCGAACCCACAATTCAATTTATTGCAACCCAACAGAAGTTTCGTGTAAGTTTAGTTCTTTCACTCGTAGCTCGGGCTGCGGGGGTGCTAGAGACGGGAGCACGTTGACACGACCTTCCTAGCCGGAGATATGGCCGCATTTTACAATAAACTTCCGTTGGGTCGCTTAAAAACAAATATCGCAAATCGAATCGCAATATTTGTCCGAAAAATCGCAATTTGATTTTTTCCCAGAATCGTGCAGCCCTAATCACAATGATCTACTGCTCGTAAGAAGCTGTGAAGGTTGCCAAACTCACGCTGCTGATGTTTCGGTTGTTTTGCTCATTAACTTTGGGGCAGATTTGCAGGATTTCTTGGCTGCCGTCTCTCCATCTCCGGCCTTCTGCACCACGACAGCGGCCTCAGCCTTCAGCGCTACTTTGAGAAACCCCTCTGCGCACTGCAAACACAGATATCGTGAGGAAGGTGGAATTTAAAATGATGTAACAACATTTAAAAAAGCATAAAAAGAAGAGAGGGTTTAAAAGAGACTCATACTTCAGCCTGATGTTCCGTTCCGACGGTGCGTGTCAGCGTCCTGCAGACCTCTGTGACTCGCTGCCGTCGCAACAACGCAGCACTTTCATAAACCACTGCACCGGAGAGCAAGAAGCCGAACAGCAAGCAGAGCGATTCGGTAACCTCTGCCCCCAACTTCACATCCGACCCTCCAAGAGTACAAACACACTCGAACATCTGCGAGAGATGGATGGGTTCAAAGTGTGTGTGAGAGACGGCGGGCGTCTGAAACACGCAGCGAGTCAGCTGCAGCAGCTCTCCTGCGTACGGGTCCTTCTCCTCTGAGTTTGCCGAGTACGTGTAGGAGTGCGTTTCCAGCAGGTGAAGGTAAGCCGTGAAGAACTCGTGGCCGCGCATCTCAGGAAACCCTCCAAGCTCCACCAGTCGACTCAACATCACCATGGAGATCTTCCTCAACCTGGTGTTGCCGTTAGCCAGGAAGGAACACGCCGTCTCCCAGGCGACACTGATATCCTGACGGGAGACGACTCCCCGCAGGGCGTCCGTTACGACACCGAGCGCCACCGCAGTCAGCGACTCCAGGGCGGCAGGAGAGGGCAGAACGAGAGGAGAGGGGGTGAGGTAGTGGGAGGAACAGAGGGGGGAGATACTGAAGCACTCGAGCGTTACAGGCCATGGTTTCAGTGTGTGAATACCAAGAGAATACCCATGTCCTGACAGGGTGGAGATGTGAGCGTACAGGACGTTGCTGAGGTCCTGGGACAAGGAGACGAGGTCCTGAGTGAGGCGGCTGCAGATGAAAGGCGCTCTGGCTCTCAGGGTGTGGAGCAGAGAGCACAACACGGCAGAAACTCGCCCGTGGAGGATGTCACAGTCTGGAGCCGCCGCCACGCGAAGCAAGCGCACCACCACCCACTTACTGAAGTCTGTGGAGAGAGGAATGAGGAACAGTCAGAGATGGAGAGGAGAGGAAAAGAGAAAACAATAGATATGTGCATCAGTCAGTCCTCTCAGTAAACACAGAGCTGATTCCAGATCAGATGCACGCTGAAGGCTCTTTGAAAATGTTCTCTCTCAGTGATTGTGATGTTATGTTTGTTTTTCATGTATTGTGTCTTGATTAGGGTTGCCAGAAACTGACCATGATCAAAATCGATGATTCGGCAGCCCTGGCGAATAATAATCGATTATTCGACCGACCCCCCCCCACCCCCCGGAGAGAAAAAAAAAAAACTCAGACAAAAGGAATTCCGTTGTTTGTGTCATTTAACTTCCTTTGGACTTGTAAGTTCGAAGTCGTTCCACGAGGAGGAACTCGTTTTACCTGCCGCTTTGTTCATCTTTAGTCGCACGTGTGAGGGAGAGGGGGGGTGGGGGCGGGGTCGGTGTGTAGCGTGCTGCAGCAGCAGTCTGCTCTGCACGCAGGCTTCCTCCAAGTTTACAGTAAAACAAACTGGTGGTNTGAAGCTCCAACATTCAACTGTATGAACAAGCAATACTTTGAAATGCAAAGAAAATTGTTATTAAAGAGACCCTCGTACACACACACACACACACACACTTTTGCATTTCAAAGTATTGCTTGTTCATACAGTTGAATGTTGGAGCTTCACTGTGCACTGCTGAATGATGTATGTGCAGGGTTTGAACCTTGAAGGCTGTTTATTCTGCTCTGAAATGGAATATATTTGTTAAATATGAAAATGATTTTAGATGTTTTGATTTGATTTCAGATTTGTGAATGGGAGAAGTAGTAGATAGAAAACATACCAAACACTAATTATTCAAAGTGGAGTATTTTATTTTATATACGGTAATACTTAGGAGGCATAGGCCTATATGATTATAATGTTTGACGTTATTGATATTAAAAAAGGGATTTGTTTTCCATGTCATTTGTGTGTTTTCTTATCAGAAAGTGAAGTTATTTATTTGTAAGCTACAAATCCAAATGTTTCCCTCAATGGCCTTTGTGCCCTGGCATGTGGCCTTTGTGNAAGTGGAGTATTTTATTTTATATACGGTAATACTTAGGAGGCATAGGCCTATATGATTATAATGTTTGACATTATTGATATTAAAAAAGTTATTTGTTTTCCATGTCATTCGTGTATTTTTCAGAAAAAGTGAAGTTATATATGTGTAAGCTCCAAATCCAAATGTTTCCCTCAATGGCCTTTGTTCCCTGGCATGTGGCCTTTGTGCCCTAAAATAATTTGTGACACCAAAGGCCAAATGGCCTTGCCCCTAAAATGACGAAGTTCCAAGCCTGGTCATAATGCCCCGGTGCATTAGGCAAGTGTCCATAAAGTAACAGTGTTTCAAATCTGTTCTGGAGGAGCTTCTTAAAGGGCTGTAATAAGCTTACTCGTGTGGGATCATTTGCAATGCTAAATATATTTGAAATCCACCATTAGACACATAAGTATGTATTTCAGTAATTTACCTGTGTACTTGTAAAAGTTATGAAACCTCTTTTGGATGATCCTGTCTGTGAATCCAAATCTGAGCAGCTGTAATTTAGCCATGGTAATCATTTTTGGATTCTCATGTGGTGGTGCCTGGCAGTGTGTTTTCTTTCATACAGATATTTCTGCATCTTGCTGCCAAGAATCTCAGAAATATGGCTTAACATCACACCGTCAATGAATTTCATGCAGCTAGAAGCCAAAAATCCTTAAGACTTGCTTTTGTCACCCTCCAGTATTACCTTAACTATTGATTTTGCGCCATCTTAACACTGTGGAATGAGTGTTGACTAAAGTTTTCAATGAATATAAGGTTATAATTTTAGCTACTTATTTCAATTATATAAACAAATATGGGTATAAAATGTTCTGTCCTTGAATGTTATTCAAACATGTTAAGCTTGTAAGAGTCTTCAGGGAGGTGATTCTGTGGTAAGTGGGGCATAATTACCTCCAATTTGAAGCTTACAGTTTGATGAAATGAGCGTGATTCAGAGAAGTACGGAGCGCTCACACTCTGCTCTCTGCACCTCCATTACGTTTCAGACCTCAAATAGAAACTCAAAAAGGAAAACATAGGAAGGATTTTTTGAACAAGTCATCATATCCGTATTATTTTCAACCACTTTGGTACATGAGATTTGTCTTTTAGGCAAAGTGGCAAAATCGTGATAAAAACATTGTCTTGTGATCACAGTTTTACATTTCTGCAGAGAATATGTTTGTTCAGCTCACTATCTGCGTAAAATGTTAATATTTGGGATGGGATGGTGTGCTTGATGTCTCTACATATCATTAACATAATGCATTACACTATTTATTGTGAGGTTCATCCATAAAGAAGCCTCGATTTACACTTGTCTTATAGGATAAAAGTCGTTATGTCACCTTTATTGTTTTAATTCCAGAGCTGTGCCAAATATGTTTTTGTTTAAACAAAATTGTCACATTTACATTTAATTTAGTTGTCATGAGAACAAGAACCGGGCTGAATACATCAAATGAATAGAAAGGTAAATACAACACTATAAAGGTCGATTCATGACTAAATCTGTGTGTTCACTCAAAGACACAAATATGAATGCATATTATTTTGGTATAATTTATAATGAATATATTTTTTCTTTACTGTGCGCACAATTTGGATACCCACAGTGGGCTATTAAAGGATGTGGTGCACTGATCTCCTGTTGTCACATTGATTCCTCGTTTACCATCAATAAGCTGGTCAGTGAAAAGAGCAGCAAAGAAGACATTTTACCGACTGACGATGTTCCTCTGACAGCACAATTACATTAGTCTGTGGCTTTTTATAGTGCCTGTACCATTAATTATCACTGTAAACCATCAGTGACAGTGATATCTAAATTATTATTATCAAACATCAGAAGAAGGACAATAATTAATTTCTAGTGTTCATATTGAAAAAGACTTCACCAAGTGCTTGACAAATGATGAATGAAACATAAATGACAAAGCAACATTAAAGCTTTCATGTAGGCTAATATTAAGACAACATTAAATGCATGACTCAATATAAATAAAGTTTATACACTTGCAAATAATATAAATAAACTGGTCAATCTAAACATGAGCTATCAATCACTGCACTTTTTTTTTTCTTTTTTTTTTAAAGGCCTTTTAATATTGAGGAAATAGCATCTGCATTTTGAGCAGACAAGTCCTTTATACAAATAGCCCTGGGAATAAAACATATATCATGCCTCTAAAACACAGAGTTTGTAACAGATTATTTCTGAGCCAGATTACATTCACTTGACCACTGAGAGTTCCCTCTCGAAAAGAGAAGCTTTAAATTAGGTATGTTACATAAAGAGAAGAGGCCTGTGTGTGCAGATTTGACAGTCCTCCCCTGAAACTGTGCAGCCGTAGAAAGGGAAACGAAAAATGTCAAACCATAGATCTTCAGTTTAACTGGCTCTGCAGCTGAAGTCTTCACCGAGCGAGTGGCTCACTGATATTTGTGAGCTGCCTCTCTGTGAAACTGCCTCTGCCTCGCAGGTGACCTTCCAATGTCTATTTTTGTCAGGTAATGGCTGTCATTATTAATGCTGTTTGCTTTACATTGCTTCTACTGCAGCCTTTTTGGCTTGGATAGAGACGTTTACACAACAGAGGCGCGGCGCGGATCGCGGTGAATCTGACCGGTATCCATGGAGCGGCTGATGGATTGTCAGGTTAGCCGTGTCTTGGTACAGAGAGGAGGTGGAGGTGCCGTCCTAACGGAGCGAGCTCCAGCGCTTCCAGCTCCCTCTTGATTGCCTGACATTCTTTATCAACAGTCATGTATTTCTGTTCCCTTGGCAACGGTTTCCTGCCGATACAAAGAATAAGGTTTCACCTTGAAAGTTTAAGACTGTGGTTGGCAGCCTCAGTGTTTTCATTTACGTGCAGCTGCACCATCATTTTCAGCAGGAAACTAGAGCTTTTATTTTCGACCCTTCCCTGCACTGCCCTACATTCAGGTCATGACATTCTTTTATAAATTCATCTTTTACACTTCTAATCTGTGCTACAGAGCTACTTCATTATGGTTTAACAGGAGGGCTGTATATGTTTTTTTTTCAGAGGGAGGTCTCAATCTCTATTACTCTCAAAAGGTATAGGTTATAGGGTAACTGTAATTTAATTTGCTTTTAATATATAGAGAACTAATGCGACTTTGAGATAAGGCTCTCTAAAGCAGCCTTGGTTTAAGATTTCAGTGACATTTCTTTCCCATTTTGACCTTTTTAGGATGGTAATAGCAGATCACACAATGTAATTCAAATTATGCCATTAACTTCCCGACTCGCACTGACGTGAATAAGCCCTGAGTTAAATGGAACAATGTTATATTCCCTGGCAGCGCCTCATCAGCACAGTGTTGGTTTCCAGCTATTTTTCATTTCACTTCCATTTTCTGGAGAATACTGTAGCTGTTATTGTCTAGCAAAAAATAATGTATTAATCTTCATTTGTAGCTTGAAGAAAGAAAAAATATTCGGCAACCATGTGTTGCTTTTTCGTATAAATATATTTTTGCAACTGCTTGTAAAGTTTGATTTCTAATTGACTGTTTTTTGTTCGGCTGGAAAGTTCTTGTGACCTTGTGTCAACTCAATCAGGAATCCAAGCTGTCGTTTTTGTGTGTAACATTGGATTTTACTTACAAATATAATTATACAGTATGTAGCACAAATTGATTGTATACCATTTCTGTCAATCATGTTGGCCTATTCGATAATTATGGATGTAAAACACCAATTTTAGCATCTGTTCTGCTCATGTCAAAGGTTAGCATGAGCTACATATCATATAGAGGGGGGGGCTCACCAACAGAAAGAAACTATTTGAACATCAAGACTGGCTCACATGGCCTGGTAAACATCATGGGTGAAAGGTTTTATAACATTCACTTACAGCGGCCGCACCTCAGGCGCACTCATGTGCACAGCCT